ATATTATTACCATCTCCATTCAAAGACCATTCTCATATACACAAAACCTCTCTCTCTGTCTCTCTCGGTCTCCCTCTCTTTTTCATTTTTGTCAAACTCTCTCTCTCTCTCAAACAGTCTTGTCAAGACTGAAGAGGATATTCCATTATTATGTCCCAAACAAAGACAAAAAATATAATGGAAATCAAAAGCGGTTTGGGTTGGTCTAGTTACTGTAGACCATTTTCATAAGTCAAGTGTGGTCTTTATTTCCATTATCACAAAACGGACAAGCTCGGATTCTTATCTGTCGTTGGTTAAGCTAAGCACCCGTGATTATGGTTTAAAGCAGTTTATTTTTCAGATTTTTTTTTTTGAACATCTATAATTTTATTAAACGGTAAACAAATAGTACAAGAATTTTTCCAACCAAAGAGGTGGAGAGTTATATATAGTAAACGATACATTTGAAACATAACTCTTCTTTGCTAAGATGTCTGCAGCTTGATTTCTTTCCATGTTGACCTGATCTAACTAGCATAGAGGGAGTTTTATTATCCAATGACAAATGTCATATAAGATGTTGCTAATTTCTGTATTCTCTCTTCCTTGATTAATCAAATTTGTCAATTTCATGTTATCTCCTTCGAACCAGACCATTCTCCATCTTTGCGCCCAAATTGTCTAAACAACATGTAAAAAGCCTCTTGCTTCAGCCTGTAATGGTGTGGATACCTATTGCAATAAAGTGGGGCCTACCATAATAAAAGTTTTATTATAATCTCTAATAATCCAACCCACACTCATGGCATCTGCATCTTGAACAAAACTGGAATCAAAATTGCATTTTAACCCGCCTTTTGGTGGAGGTTCCCATTCACTGCCTTTATCTTGATAACCCTGTTTCTGTAAACCATATTGAGCAAAGATGAACTGGTTTTTCCATTGCTGCACATTCCTTTGCTCCATGTATTCCCCTTACTGCATCTTCATTCGGATGTGTTAATCGTTTCTGGAATAAAAATTCATTACGAGATTTCCAAATAGTCCACAATATCCAGCATGGAAGAACTCGAAGATCCATACTCAAATCCCGAGTTTCATATAACTTTTAGGCACATTCCAAATTCTCTTCTATATTTTCCGAGGTAGTTAGAAATTGGTTGAGACCAGTGCATCTCCAAATAGCTTGAGCATGAATACATTGGAAGAGCATATGATTTATTGTCTCTTCTTCAACACAACATCTCTGACAAACTGAAGACATGTTCACGTTTCTTGAGATTAAACGAGTTGCTGTTGGTATAGCTCCGGAGACTACTTTCCACAAAAGATCTGGATTTTGGGTAAAATATCCATTTTCCATATTCTTGTTTTTAACTCCAAAGATCCCTGCGGTGGTTCTATTTCGTCAATGCCAATAGCTTGATGTGTAGCAAACCAATAACCTGAGCGAACCGTATATTTTGCATTGCGTGTATATGGCCAAATTATCTTATCCTCTTGTGCTACCTGAGATAGCAAAATTTGTTTTACCTTTGTGATATCTTCTTGAACTAGAAAGACTTGTAGTTTTTCATTATCCCATTCCCTCTTTCCTTCTAACCAGAGATCTGAAACACGAAGATTAAGATTCTAGTGATTTACTACTGCTGGTCTAGGAGGAGAATCAGGGATCCAGTTATCCCTATACACCTGTATTGAATTTCCGTTTCCAATTTGAATCCGAAAACCTTGTTTCAACAAGTCCATTCCTGTGTGAATGGATTTCCATCCATATGATGAGTTTTGTCGATCACACGCCGATTCTAAGAATATCGACTTTTTATAATATCAACCTTTATATAATCAAGCAATAAGCCACGCCTGTTTAGCTAAAAAAACATGGTTGAACTGGTACATATCACAAAAACCTAATCCTCCTTCTTTTGGTATCGATAATTTCTTCCAAGCAATCCATGGTATTTTCCTGTTGCCATTCTCTTGTCCCCACCAGAACTCTGTTAAAATATTATTTATCTCATCACAAACCGTTTTTGGAATGAGAAAACATGTCATCGAGTATACTGGTATTGACTGCAGAACAGACTTTATAAGCACCATTTTTTCTTGCCGGTGATAAGAATTTGTTGTACCATCCTCCTATCTTTTCTCTGGTTTTCTTTGGAATGAAATCGAAGTCTTCAGTTTTCTTACGACTTAACTGTCCTGGGAGGCCAAGATATTTCCCTCCCTCACCAGTATTTGTAATTCTGAGGATGTGATGTAATGACTGCTTCCGGTTTTCCTCAATTCTCATACCAAAGATCAGTGATGACTTCTCATAACTTACCTTATGACCCGAGATAACTGCACACTGTATCCATAACTCACACATCTTCTAGACTTATATCTGTAGAATGTAGAGCTTCTGATACATATAACCCTGCAGAATCACTTTTACTTGCTTTGACCATTGCGGCTTCCCCTTTGCTTTGGTCCTTAAAATCGACTTCCAAGTGGTGCTTCAAATGATGATATTGTGAGTATTTTTTGTGATAATTAATATATGATTTCTTAATTCATTTACATTAGTTTTAATAAATTCTTTAATTATGAGTTAATCAAGCCAAAATAATGTTAAAGGAAGATCCAAAATACAAAGCAGGCTGGAAATTTGATCATGTGTTGAGCATTATTAAGAATTTTGAGAAGTTTAAAGATGGTGAAACTCCAGCTAGAAACGTACCAAATCCATGTGGTTTTGGGTATGCATCTTCGGAGTCGTAAAATCCAACCCCAGACTTTGGTACACAAGCATCTTCAGGTTTGACTTCATTTTCTTTGAAGTTAGATGATGAAGAAGACATTATTGGTGGGTCTGCATCTAAACGACCGATTGGAGTGAGAAAAGCTAAGCTGAAAAGAAAAAAATGATGATCAAACATCACTTGTTATCAACACTTTAAAAGAAGAAAATAGACAACTTGTGGAGCAACTAAAGAAGACCAGCTCCCAAAGACAACACTATTTAGATATTCAAAATAAGAATTATGCTTTGAAAAAATTTAGAGAAGAAAAAAAAAATTTGTTTCAAGACAAAAATTCTATACAAGATGTGAATATTCGTACATATGTTCAAGCTGAACAAGCACGGATTTTACAGAAAAGGGTTGAACAACAACAAAATCAGCAAACTCCTCCTTTAGCATCAACTTCATTTGGACAGTATTTTAATCATCTTAATGGACCTGGAAGTGATTTTCAAAATTATTAAGTTGTAAGTTTATGTTATGTTAAGTTTATTATTTATAATTCCGTATTAATTATGCATTTTTAATATTGTTGTGAGCTATGTTCTTGTATTTTCTATATATAATATATGTTATTGTATATTTTTATTGTGCTTACTGTATTTTTACTTTATAATTTAATTAAAAAAATTAACAGTTTTAAAATTAATTGGATAAAAAAACATATAAATTTTGTTTGGGTATAAAACAAAGCATGTATAAAGTTAAAGATACATTTTGTAACTAAAAAAATTTACCTTCAAAAAATGAAGAAATGAACAGTGTTCCTTCAAACCATTGGAGAACATTTCTTCATTTTTATCTTCAAAATGAAAGAAAAGGTGAAAAATGAAGGACCATTGGAGATGCTCTTATTCTTCATGTATCTTTTGATTGCACTGTTGGATCTTCGTGATGTAAAATTCTATGGAAAGCTGGTTGTCTCCTCTTGATTGTCTCCAAATTTTGAGCTGGGTCAGATGGTGAGAAAGTCTTCATTTGAGGCTGAACTTCTGACGGTCTGACACTAAGCTGAAAATGTGGATTTCTTCCATTTGACCATCATTTTCTCTAAGTTTCCAGAAAAGAACCTTGAAACTACATATACATATAAATCATAATAAAATTTCCTAAAACTGATGAAAACCTTTGAAAAAGCATTTGAAATCAATAGTGAAAATGGGTACAAATACGGTATTATCACTACCACTTAATCCATCAGGAGAGGCAATACACATTTCAGTAAACCCCAACATAACCCCAATATCACGCACGTAATCGTCCTTTTGCTTTGTTTCCACTAAGAACAGCAAGTCCAAGAGGTACATTCTCTGTAACTCCTTTAGACGTCAAAATGTGAGGCGCTGTTCTAAGCCTTGACAGTTCCACACCTGATCCCTCATGGAACCGGTGGTGGATTCGGGCCCACCACGCCTCTGTGTTGGTAGAGAGTTTTATTTTGGACAACCTCTGCATCCGAGTACACTGCTTGAATCTTTGAAAGTGCTTCCGGAGATTAACCTCCATTTTCAAACTTGTCCACCATCACAGGACTCACTGATGTTCTTGCTTGTTTCTGTGTTGGTCCTGTAATATCCGATTGAAAAGCATCTTCATGAATCTCATTTGGTGTGAAGATATTACCTATAGTATTATGAAATTTCTCAGCCAAAGATTCTCCTTTACGAAAGCCCGATCCTAAAAAGCTTCCATATTCCTTAAACACACTGATATAGGCACAGGCCTATAGAAGTGATGGATCCTTGTTGCTTGTTGTGTAACGCTCTCAACAAGGACAGAGAATGGATTCTAGGTGGAGGAGGATGGGACCTAATCAGCTGGTTGTGTAACTCTCTATGATAAAGTCAAACGATGGAACGAATGGTGCACATGGTGGAGTGAGGGTCACCACATAGTTTTATGGACTAAACTTTGATAAGACCGGCGAGAGATGGATCAAACACCAGCTCTCAAAAGAAGGATCAAACACCAACTCTCAAATGAATTTGAAGAATTTAAAGACAAGAATATTGCTTGAAGAAGTGCGTTCTTTTATTGATAGTAGGGTAAAAATACACGGCTGCTTATAAGAGACTTTATAAGAGAGTCTGATGCAGATTTGCCCTTCTTAGGGACTTGAAGCAAATACAATAAATGACATAAATTATGGGACTCTAAAGAAGCAAGTACAGACTCGTGCAATAACTAGAGAAATATTCTAAAACTTAAAACTATGAATAGAACCTGAAAAACAAACCAAAGACAGAAAACCAAGTTAGGCAAGAATATAATTGTATTCATTAGTTTACCTTGGTAGATTGGACGGCTAGGATGGTCTTAAGTTGGCGTGATGCTGATGCTGAATAGATACACTTCTTTGTTGGGTCGGAGAAGTGGCAATTCAGTTGTTGGACCGTCTTGTATAAGATAGGCTTCTTCTTCATTAGGCTCTTCCAGGCTTCTTTCTTGGACCATGGCCTTAAAGCTTGGGTACAAAGAGTCTTCTTGCTCGTAGATACTAAGTAACGCTTCAATGGCTTGATTTAACTCCTCACACAAGACTCTAGTTCCTTACCTTGTTCTTGGTCCTTGTCTCACAGTTGGTATAGGTAGAGCTTGTGGTATATGCCCTCATCACACACCATCCAGTTGTTGTCTTTTTCCACTTTCACCTTGAGTATGAGACTGATCAGATGGAGACGGAGTGTGTACCTCAGCAGTGGTATCTTGCGTAAACATTCCATTGATCAGATTCTCCACAAACCTTCTCTTCCGGAGTTCCCTTGTGTGACTTTGCTTCGCTGCTTCATACTCCTCAAGTGCCAGTTGATAATCCGCCATAACATGTTATAAATCAACCTCTGCATTTGGACGTGAGTACCCACTTGTTTCACCATGTTCCATCTCCATCTCCATGGTGGAGCTAGGATTCTTTGTTGGATTTGCTTGCCTTTCACCTTCAAGAAACAGAGAAGCAATGAAATTCTGCTTTCTATGCTCCCCATCATCTCCCATAAAGATAGTTCTCTCTCGAACAAAGGCTTCCATACACACTTGGAAGTTCTCATCGGTGAAAGGTAAGAGCTCTTCATCTTTAGTTTCACTTGGATGGCCCATTGCCTCATTGTCATCACCGTAATTATCATCTGCATCTGCTTCATTAATTTGGCCATCTGCAGCCGCTTCCATCTGGTTTGGAACCTCCTCGTGATCCATATTCACCGGTCCTCCATCTTCTGCATCTCCCTGATTCCCATCATTGCCATCACCATGGTTATGATTGTCATCCTGGTCTGGATTGGGATTGTGGTGGACGCATGCTCCCGTGTCATGTGTAAGCATCCCACACACTTCACAGAAACCTCTCAGCCTTTCGTACAGGAATTTTAGGGTAGTGTTAACCCATGGTGAGAACTGAAAGTTCCTCTGGAAACGCAGAGGGAGATCCACGTTCCAGTTGAGTTTCACTCTCACAAATTCCACTGCCTTAACTGCTTCCAGATCGAAATCCATTTCCAGCACTTGATCTGTTGATCCCGCCATGACGCCTGCAATATGGTTGATGATTCCTTGTGTCAGGAATTGCAGTGGTATTCCCGTTATTTGCACCCATAATGGAATGAAATTGAGATCCAATTCATTCATCGTTGGACTCCATCTTGTAAGGATCGTCATATGGTCGTTAAAAGCCCAAGGTCCTCAATTCAGGACTGATTGCATCAATGTCCGAAGGAAACAAAAACTGATACATCCTACATTCAATTAGTCGGGCTGAAATGATACCGTTGAGACCCCACATTCTCGGGAAGAAGGCAATGATTGCACAAATCTTTTGTCGACGTGGTATCAGCGGTTGGCCCATCAGTGAAAATTGGTTGACCCGAACAGCTTCTCTACACACCGATCTTGGAAGTGCCACTGGTTCATCGTTGATTCCCAGATTGATCTCCTGGATTGCTCTGCGTAGATTTTCAACCATCATGAAATTTTGATCTTGAAAACAAAAGAGTATTTGATAAGTAATTGCGAAGAGATTGTGAGTATGTAAAGGAAATGGTAGAGATCTGTTATATAGGGATTTGCGATAGCGGTTCCTGCCCATGTTCACCTCATAATGGAGATCTCTCCCCACTACGGAGATTAACGATGTATAAGAGTAACTGTTGCTGAACAGCTCCACTTCCCCATCGAAATTGGAAAAAAGTGCTCTGTAGAAAATAATTTGGAAAAAGACAGCAATTTTTGGATCCCTGAGCAGATCACCGAAATCGACATAATTGCCCAAAAAATCGCCATCAGAGAACGGCTTCCCTACTAGACTTTATTTCACGTTGGCGGTTGTTTATTTTTCAGATTCTATGTCAAAATTTTTTGTTCAGATATAAATTTCACATTTAAAAAATAATTAAAAATAAAAAATAAAGAAAACTCAATATACTTTAAGCAAAACATCAGTATGAAAAAAAATTGTTACCCTCTCCAACATTGTTATTATCCATCTATTTGATGCATACGAGTGCGTTTATATATTTATTTTTCTTCTAAAATTCTTAAAAATAAATAAGATTTTAGGTTATAACTGAGAGTCGATCCAAGGGCTTAGCCACTTTTTCAGTCGGGTATGTAGGTTAAGCCCATTGGTTTTATATTACGGGCTTGCTCCTATTTTCAAATTTATAGTTTTACTTTACAAGACTAGACAGAGAATAGGGTTTCCAAACAAGAGCGATCATGAAAACACACAACAAAAAGCCTAAGAACATCAATCCACAAACGTCGCAAGATAAGAACAACTTTGATGAAATCCCTCTTGACTTAGTGATCGAGATTATTAAGAGATTTCCTGCAAAATCCGTAGCTAAGTTTCTTGTAGTATCCAAGTTATGGGCAACGATCATCCGCAGTCGAGATTTCATCAAATCTTTCCCGATTCGGTCTTTTTCGCAGCCTCGCTTCCTATTCGCTTTCAGTGAGTTAGATAGACAAAGAGGACAGCAAAATTGGTACTTCTTCTCTTGCTCTTCCTCGTTAACGTCCTTACTATCACGTTTGACATGTCCGTTCCCAAAGCCTAAACACATAGTGTACCCTTCACATTATGTTAACGGCTTAATAAGCCTCGGATGTGGTCAAGAACAAATCATATGTAACCCTACCACGGGAAAGTCCATAACTTTAGCTAAAGTCAAGACCAGGAGAAGGATCGCTAAAAGTTTTTTCGGGTATGAATGTATGATCCTGTGAATGATCAGTACAAAGTATTGTGCATGACAGAAAAACTTGGTGATGCTTATCGAAATCTTCCATCATCTCAACATCAAGTTATCACAATCGGATCACAAAAATCATGGAGAATGATAGATTGTAACGTTCCTCACCGTCCTTGGTCGAACGGTGTGTGCATAGATGATGTTGTGTAATATGTTGCTTGCACGGGTTTGGGATCGTCGCAGCGTAGCTTAATGAGATTTGATTTGAGGTCCGAAAAGTTGGAATTTTTCACTGGATTATCCACAGACATTAAAGCTTCAAGGCGACATGGTTACACTTTAATAACCTACGAGGGGAAAGTAGCCATAACCTCAGGAGTTTCATATAATACATTTGATGTGTGGATGATGGAAAAACATGGATGGTTGAAGAAAAGTTTCAGTGTCCATGTCGAACCTGTTAAGGTTTTACTCATAACAGGCACTACTCACAAGGGTGAGTTTATTTTGGTACCTTACTATTCTAGAGAGCTTTATGTTATTCTTTACGATCTTAATAGGAGTAGTTTTCGAAAAATCAAGATTGAAGTAAACCCAGACCATGCATGGAAGCGCTTGAGTACAGGAGAAGGAACAGAAACAGGAGCATGTGTTCTTTCGGATTATGTTGAAAGTATTAGGTTTTTATAAGAGTTTTATGAGTTGATACCCATAATGCGTTAAGAATTCTTTTGTTTGATAATAGTATAACTTTGTTGCTTAAACCAGTTTGATTCATCTGATTACTTTGGGATCTTGACACTTAGTTTATGTCTCCTGTCTCGGTTTATTATATTTTCTGGTTTATAGGATATCATTTTTTTTTTTTTTTGCATTATATGAAGCTAGATATACTTTAGCAAAGCGCGGGCAGAAAAAATAAAGAATTGTATGTTATAAACAAAAATGTACACTTTTAATGAGTTCAAAACAAAAATAGTTGGCATTGGTTTGAATGTTTCAAAATGAAATGAAGTTTCTTTTTAACAAATCATTTGAACAAATGTTATCATGGGGAATACATGTTCCAGAAACAATGATGTCTCTGCAACTCTCAGCTAAAAACAAGAGACCACTTGTTCCTCCATTGCTGCTTCTCGAGACAGGTTCGGCGACTTATCCTTCATGGACTTAGCTCAACGAAGTTGTCTTTTGTGAATTGGTCGTCTCATGGATGCTAACTCTACTCTATTGATTTCCAAAACTATGATATGCCTTGTTTGTCAGGCCACTATCTATCTCATATGGGAAGATCGTATAGATCAAGGTATCTTCAAGCAACTAGCCCATACGATCAGAAACTCACTTCTTGCTCGGCTTTCAAAAAAGGCTGTCAAATTTGCTTTCTCAACGGTTCACTCACACTTAAGCTAGACTCTCGCTTTTTGTAATTGATATATTATGATTTTTATGGTTTTTGACCATGATATAAGTTTTATCTATATAATTTTTCTAATATTTTTTTAGTCTTTTGGAATCTTTACAAGTCTAGGTGTGTTTGGAATATAATTGAAAATTTTAGAGTATTTTTGAGCCAAACAAGGATCAATTGCGTTTAAAGACGATTATTGCCTTGGTGTCGAGCGACACCACCATAAGTTTCGGTCGACACCATTTTCGTGAGAAAACAAATCTCGACTTTTTACAAGTTTCTGAAGATTTCTGCATTTTGGCCCAGAAATTTCTAATATTTACAATAAGACCCCACTTATGTTTTTAGCTTTTTTTACAATAAAACAAATCCTAAGCCTATATTTATCTCATTGTTTTTTACAACTCTTTTTAATTACATTGCTGCTTTCAGTTTCATTGTTTTGACTTAGCGTAATTCAAACCTATTATGTGGTTTGACTCCTATTATACTACAATTGCAGTAATAGTTTTTTTCCTTTGGGCCCTAAGCTTTTTGTTTAAATCAATGTAATCAAACTCAAACTCTTTTTTTTAGTAATAAATTCAGATTTTATCCCAAATGATGAAAATAATACATGTATATATATATATATATATTCATTTGAATTAAGTATATCTATCTAATTAATATATTCATGATAATGCCTTATACAATACTATATTAACTAAAAAGAAAATGTGGTTCTATACAAATAACATTCCTTATTAAAGATATTTTAGAAAATGAAATATTATTTTACGGATTCAATATTACGGGCCGTTAATGTTTAATTAAATAATAGTTTTTTTAAAGCCCAATAATTTTGAAAACAAAATATGTATTTAATGGATTCAGTATTATGGGCCGTCAAAGTCCAATCTTAAAATAAATTTGTAAAACCTGAACTAAAAACACTTTTATAGAATTTTATTGAGGATAAGATTTCAGTGATTCAGTTTTACGTCGAAAGATTGAAGATAATTTTTAAGTGGTTGAAATTAACTTATCTTCGCATCGAGATAAGCGTATTAGTGATTTAGATTTACGGAGAAAGATTGAAGATAATTTTTAAGTGGTTGAAATTTATTTATATTCATATCAAGATAAGCTTGTAAGTAGTATAAAATATATATGTATGTTTCATGTTAAGAAGGTAGTTTCACCAGAATTATTTTCTCTTCAACAGTTCTTATCGGTTCTCGTACACACTGATAATGTAAGTGGTTATTTCATTGTCTTTCAATAATTTTTTACGTAAATTTAGTATATATATACTGAAATGTGCAAATATGTTAAAGTCTTTGTAATGGTAAAACCTATAGAGTTTCTTTGTTCACAAACGCTTTTATTTTCATTACTCTTATTGTGTTAATTGATTTAGAGATTATACATCTTATAAGAAAAATTAATAAGAAAAATTGGTTTAAAATATATAAACGATGTATGTATACGATAATTTTATATTGGTGGTGGTTGATTATATTTTAACATTTTTAAAAATTTATTCAGAGTACCATAATATAGTCTGTAGAATCCCAAAATATTATGATCAATTAATTATATTGACTAATTTTAATTCCAAAAAATTTAAATCTAATTGTTTACTGATTTCGGAGAAATTGTTTTGCTTTTTTGTCAAAAGAAATTGTTTTGTTCAACATTCTTTCTTTTTTACTAATGTTTTTGTTATACAAAAATTATATTTTGTGGCATTTGTAAATATTGAATAATTTTGATTATTCAATTTGATTTTAATTTTTATTATGTAAAATTTGAAAAGATTTATTTTACAACTAATTGATTATTGGATGACAGACATTCTGAATTTTTAGTTTTTAAAATTTATTAAACAAATTTGGACAAACACATGGTTCAAACTAGCAAGTGGTCAGATAGATTTGAGAGGAATTTTTTTTTGGTTAAACTTATCTATTATCAGATATATTTAATTAAATTAATTAACGAATTAATATGGAAATATTTTTATTTTAATAAAACAATTAGTAGGATAATAAATTTATACCATTATAAACATTTATTTTGAGCGTGTCACGTTGCGTAGTTGACAAAAAAAGAAAAAGAAAATACCCAAATAACGGCTCAAGGGCTATTTCTTCTTTAGTGTAATGTTAGGATTTTCAACATTAACCCTGATTTATCTATACATACTAGAATAAATACATGCATATATGCATATTTATAATTTACTATTTTATAGCCTGTAAAAAAAAAAATAAAAAAAAAAATAAAATGAAATCACCTATAAACATATATAATATATAAATTTAAAAATAAAATTAATGGTAATTATAAAATTATTTAAATACAAAATAATGAATTTATAATAATTAAAGCATAATTATTCTACATGACTAAACTAATATAACAATAATGACTCAATGCATTAGCTTAACATGAGTACCATGAAATAAAAAAATGACATCATGCTTATGAACTAAAAAAATTAGCCAAATATTTTTTGGTTGTTAATCTGTAATATATTGTTTAATTTCGTATTTTTCAGATTTATTATGAGTGAATTTTTAATTTCATATTATTAAAAAAACTATCAAAGTTCTAATTATGAATGGTTTTTAATTATCTAATTTCAGCTTAGTTGTATAGTTAGATAATTTTGCTTTAATACAATTTTTTAAATCATTAATTTTTTAAGATTGTAATATATTGATTAAGTTCTTTATGGTAAACTAAAATATATGGTTTTTTGTTTTTTTTTTCTTATGAATTGTGGTTTTATTCCTTTGTTTATCTATTTTTTTCTTAATTTATTTTCCCCCTTTACCTTTTACTATTAAATACCAACTATAAATTGTTAAACCAAGAAAACTAAATCCAAAAAATAAATTCCCCAATCATAGAAAATATATGCAAACATAAGAATAAATGATAAAGCAAGAGAAATGACAACAATTTGTATAATATCATATTGAGTTCGCTCTCATCCATTGCTAAGGTATATAGAGACGGTTCAAGGTGATGGTTAATTCGTGACTGTTTAGATTTTGATTTCTATATTCATTGAACCTAAGAAACATCGTAGCTTTTTTGTTTTGCTTTCTAGAAATAATCCATTTATTTTTTAGAAATAAATTATTATTTTTATTTACTAGATTATCTAAGATGTATAAATGTTATAACAAGTTTAAAATTAATGTCAATTTTCCTAATGTTTTTTATTTTAGTTTTGTTATAACCATTTTCCTAATGTCAAACTTAAAAGGCAAATAATAATTAATTTTTTTATTTTAATAAATCAAACTTAAATATTATAATTATAAACCACGTTATATTCTCAAATTAACTGCTACCTAAACATAAAAAGGTGAATCGCTTTAATGCTTTGTCGATAACGACATGTTATTTTTTAAAACGTCTTATCTAATGAGTTATTGGTTTGTGTAAAGATGAAATCAATTCGAAGTTCGACAGTTGTTACTTATTTCTAATTACTATTTATTTTTATCAAGTATCTTTAAATTATTGTTTGTCTCAGTCTTTATCCAAGAATCATTGTTTTTTTTTTTTTGATTTTAGGGCGTGAATAACCATCTCTGATTATCTGTATTCTTAAAAAAATATCTCCTTGCACAATGATTTGTGATTTAGATAGATCATCTGATCGATGCTGCATTTGTGTGCAAATTATCAAAGAATCCGAAAAAATTCTAGGTGTTCATGGCATTTAGAGATCGTTTATACTTGCAGATGAGCATGTAAGTATAATTTTTAAAAAGACATTAATGCCTAATTTTTTAATCTACTACCAATATGTCTTCTTCTTTTTTGAATCAGGGTGATCGAATCTCTGCATCGATTCCGAATTGTTTGTTAGGCCGTTATGAAGGTATGATGCACGATGGAGATTGGTACTTCATTGGTAATTTTAAAATTACTTCGCATTCGAGGTTGACTCTCAATGGTCTCCACATCTGTATTGATGAAGATACTCATGTTGAAAAGACTTTCCAAAAATCAGAGGACCACTTATACTCTTTTTCTAATTTTAGAAGAGTTCTTGACGAATCCCTGATGCAAAGCGTTTATGTTGGTATGTTTTTTTAATATTAGACTATACAGTTTTAGGTTGATTAATATTTTACATAACTATATGAAATATGTTGTTATATGTTAGTTGACTTGATTGGAGGTATTGTCAAAGTTAGTCAGTTGGAAACTCAGAAGGGGTTTTGGTCTGGAATTCAGAGAATTGATTCACAAAGTATTTTGCAATTTACGA